CATAGAGATAAACAGCATCTACATACTATTCAAAAGAGACAAAAGACCAGAAGATCGCCTCCCCGGCAATCATCACCCAAATAAGCAAAGGTTACCACCAGGCACACAATCAAGCAGGAAACATATGCCAATCAAAGAACTATCAGAGGAGCAAAACAAAACCCCCACCCCCACCAGCACTGGCAAGGCAGGCCACAGCACGTAAATAGAGAGCAAACCCCATCCCATTCTAGCACTGAAGATGCTACCTAGCCGGGTAACGAAACATTTGTAAGAAAAGAACCAAGCTCAGAGAACCCCCCTTGGGGTTCCAAGTTCAACCCTGAGCTACACATATTCGCCTCTATTGGCATCCATATATAGCGATCTACAGTTGCCAGAACTGCTGCCCGCTTGGGCTGTGCTGACTTGGAATTCTAGGTATTGTAACCTGACAGAACTAAAGGGGACCAGGTTGAAAAACCTTGTCTCATCTTACCTAATATATTCATCACCTCCATGAGGTTGGAAGAGAGATTTCTTGATTCCAGGCAAGTCTCTTATCTATAATGGAACAGAGATTCTTCAGGAATGGGCTTGCTGAATATGAAGTCTGCAGATACTCCTTTAGGAGGAGATAATTACTCATCCTCTAATATTTGCCAAATGAATGAATAAAATGAATGGATGAACAATTTCTTTAATATAGACACACGTGGGTGTTTCTTTGTTTCTATCTTCTTTACTAATTTGTGTTCTCTGATGCCACCTTGTGGTAAATGATTTTTTTTTTTTTTAAATCTTGATCTAATTGAATGGCTTCTTCAAGAAACTGAAATTCAGTGACAGAGAAAATAAGTCCAGTGCTAGGATCATCAGCTTCATTAGGAGTCCCAGCACCTCAATAAGATTCATCAGCACCAGGAGACTTGTTATGGGAAGCTGTGGATTTACATTTACCACAATGCCCTAAACACTCAGTTGTGCATGATCTTGAGGCATGATGGAAAACTTTCAACAGTGGCTTTTCAGTTTCTCACTTCCCACAAGTAACCTCCCCAACTCTGTAAATCAATGTATGAAATGATGTAATCTACACATGTCACAAATTAATATTTAGATGGAAACTTAAGTGATTTGCAGTCTTCATACTTCTTGGAAGTTCCAGAGCAACTGGCTAAAAATAGAAGCACAATATATATATTTCATCTCAAAATAAGCATTTGAAAGTTATGGAATAAAAGAGACATTAAAATCCCTCCATCTCTACACTTACACTGGTGTGAAGCCTATTCACCTGGCATCATTTTGCGGATCCTCAACCCTGGACTAAAACAGGACTTTCTGTAAAGAGTTCAGAAAATTAATCAGAATTCATTCCCCAAACTGCATTTAGGCAGAATTTACCAGATTTATTTAAGTGAAGATTGAATTCAAATAAATACTGATTGCCCCTTCTCTTCTCTTGTCCTTTTTCAAAACATTCAGAAACAGGCTGTGTCTTTCCTTTCACATATAAAGGAAAATCACATGAAAGCTGTACCACCGTGGCTAACAATGAAGGAAAAGCTTGGTGTGCCACCACTCCGGACTACAAAAGTGGTCTGAAGTGGAGATTATGCAATGGTGAGCCAAAGGGCAGCGGTTATGGTGGAAACTTATTTTTATGTTTCTCTTGTCATATCCAACTGTTACTTCCATATACAGTAATAAAGTGGTAAAAGCACACTTTTATATTCAGGTAGTCCCCAGTTTACGAACTAGTTCCGTTTCCAAGATCTATCCTTAAGCTGAATTTATATGTAGGCCAGAACAGTATTATTGTATAATGCTATATCAATAGTATTGTGTAATGAACTCAAACCATTGTGTATTTAACTCAAATTTTGCTACAATAGGCTCCGTTCTTAATTATGGGTCATCCTTAAACCAGGCGTTCTTAACCTGGGGACTACCTTTTGCTTTTATTTTTAATAAAAATGTATATTTTTCTGAACAGACTACATATTACCCAATTACCCATTCCACCAGTATTTCATATCTTAAAAAATTTTCTTCCATTTTTCCATCTTTAATACATATTCCCCTCAGGATACAAATTCAGCAACTTGTTCTAGTGTTTTGCCATTTTTGTGTAATTTACAATTATTAAGTACATTTTCTCTGCCAAACATATTAAAATTAGCTGACATTAATTTTCACACTGATACTCCTTCCTGCATCATACAATTTATCTAATAATCACTGAAATTCATTTGAATGCTCATCTGGTAACATGACATTGTCTGCGTACATGGACATTCTTGTCCACAGCACCTCTAAAATCACCACAGACATTCCTTATGTATTTATCCATAAATACATTAGATAATCAGGGGATATCATTATCATCACATCATTGCTTTACTCCCTTATCAGGGTTGAACCATTTGTAAGTAATTCATTTATTTTCATGCAGAGTTTACTTCTATCGTACAGTGCTTGTATTGCATTCAGCAAACAATCTTCAACTCCATTTTGGTGCAAAACATTCTATTATTCAAGCTTATTCACTTTATCATATGCATTTTTTATTTTAATCAAAATCACTTTATTTTTTTCTCCGTTTTATCTGTTCTTTCCTGCTTTGACTACAGTCTTTGCAACTGTCATTTTCTCTATATACAGTTTATAACATGTATTTTTCTCATTTTATACCAATCATTTGTCTATATGCATTTTTTCTCATCCACAGCCTCTTTCATTATTCTACCTCCACATACTTTTGTGGGATACTGCAACATAAAACTGTTATAAGCAACTTCTATATGCTCTTTTTTACATCTATTCATTCTGCTGGGGCATTAATCTCTGTTCTAATATTACTACATATAGGTCTCATACTTATTTTTCTTGCATATTTCTCCACTTCCCTTCTACTTTCATTAACTTCCACTATCTCCTTCTCCTCCCCCTCCTCTTCCTCCTTCCATCTTAACTTTTTCCCAAGATCCCCTTTGGACACTATCAAATAATTGTCTGTTCAGAATGTCTTGCTACCCTTCCATCATTGCATTCATTTAGAATGTTGGACAATCTTCCCCCAAACTCATTCCTGGTTCTTCCATTAACACCATTCACTATAACATAAACATAAGTATCACCAATTTATGTATTCCTATTTTCATGTACACTCACAAAATAAGTGACACTAATTCATACATTTTAGCGCTTTCAATCACAATTAAATCTATATCTTTACTTTCCTGCATGTATTCTTCATCTCCTTTCCACACGATCAGACCATTTTCATCCAGATTTATTACATTCTTCCCTTTTCCTTTAATTTCACATGCAATATATATATATATATTTAAAAATACAGAATTTGTATTGCTCGCATGCATTAAATGTAAGACATTTCTCCTTAACTTCCTTAAATTCATTTTTTGGAGTTGAAGTGAACGTTCTGTTTTTAAATATGATCTTATAGTGAATCTTTTGTGATTTGCATTGACTGCCAGTACAGGTGGG